TGTCGTTTTCACTCATTTTTCAAAACATAGGGTGACCATTGAGTATTTAGCTTTTTACTGTCAAATGTTTCTTTAAAACATATTAAACTAACCCCAAATTGATGCCTATCAAATTTGCTATGTGTCTAATGGTCAGTCAAAAATAATCAGCGATACTTTATTGTTTTTTTTGGAAACAGTACATGTACATTGGTTCTTGTAAGTCCTTGTCGTCACGGACGGTACCAATTTTTGATGCCCATTATATCATTTTTGTTCATTGAATTCCACCTGCTCATGTATCTATAAAACAGGCACTGGTTGCAGTAAATCTCATAAATTTCAGGTGGTTGTGGGGACGACCTGTTTTTGTCAATTAAAGGCCTCCAGAGCGTATCATTTTTTTTACGTTTTGACGTGACAAACGTTACACATCTCATTTTACATCGCTAGCAATCAAGAGTACTTTTAAATATTGCAAGGTTCAATCTGTTTTAATCCCCTCTATACATATTACTTTTCCAGAAATTGACGAGTGTGCGAGTCAACTATGCCTGCAGCTGAATAATGGGACATGTACAGATTTTGTTAATTCGTTTTCTTGCTTCAGTCATCCTAGATCTACTGGCGGTTATTGTGAAACAGGTAAATACCAGTATGTCTGAGAGGTTTTTTAAAGGTAATTTTAACTATCTAAATGAATGGAAGGTGTATTTATCAGTTTCAGTTTATATAATGATTCATTTGAATTTTACCTATTTTACTTGTAATCTGTTCAAATTTTGTAGACATAAACGAGTGTTTCTTAAATAAGACATTGTGCTAAGGAAGTAGATTTTTTAACCTGTATTTATCATCAAGAGATTGTTTTGATTGTTGCATGAAATATATTGCTTCTTTAACTTGCATCAATACCATGACTGATATATATGTATAAATTGGTCAACTCTTAAAAATGACAATTTGAAAGTAATTTTTGGATGAACTTTATGAAAATGATATGTTTTTCTGAATATTTTATATTGTGTCAACATGGATGAAAGTTCTTACAGTATATATATATATTTCTTTTTTCCCAACCCATTGCTTGTAAATGGGAAAAAATTAGGTGTGTGTATTACACTCACGAGTCTTTGTACTTTGTAGAGGGAATAGAATTCAACTTATTAAATCAAAATCTTATTCTGAAATTATACAGTGGAGATTTTTAACTGAGAAACATCTAATTTAAATGTATACACTTTTCATGACATTGTATGGGGCAGAGAATTGACTTTTAAAAATGTATGCCCAATTTCATTATTTATGTTTATTAGAGGGCGGAGCCCTCTCACGGGCCCGAAGGGCCCGTGAGAGCGAAGCTCTTCCTATAGGTAACACGTATGTGTATGAAAAATAAAAGAAATCTATTGTAAACTATATGTCAATTACAATACCTATGGAACTGAGATTCTTGTCGCCAATATGGCGTCCTGTAAAATGGCGTCGTTTTGATTCACGCGCAAATTCTCGTTGTTGATGAGACTTTCATCAAAGTGAAAACCATTTAATCCAAGGATAAATAGTAGTAATGGTTTTTTACTTAAAATCAAATCCATCTTCCAACTTTCGATTTAGACGTTTAGATTTATTTATAGTTCGCGCTTCACAAGTATAACGGCATTTGATTGGTTAGAAATTCCCTACAGGCGACGCTGTCTTCTACACTATTGAGGAGCGGATCTATATGTGGCGCCTTTCACTAGGCTGTAGAAGGAAAATAATCCTTATTTATTTGTTAATAAAATTTAATAATAACGAATGTCTTCAGGATTATTGTCAATACATACCAAGCTAGAAATATAGTATTTTTTTAGACATACTGTACAATTTTTTTGAACAGTTAAATTATATGTTTTAAAAGTTATATTTAAAATTTAATACCCTGTGAAAAGTCTAAATATAGGGACTCAATAAATGTGTGGAATATTTTTAAAAAAATTTTTTAGGTATCCAAATTGTTTATGAATATCTACTTGTACATAGATATATAAATATTTAGCAGATGGAAGTCTGAGTCTCATTTTTGTTGTGATTTTTAAAATTCAATATTTCATTTTATGAAGTTTTTCAAATGAACAAAATTTCAGTATCTTAAATATAATAATCAAAACAAAAATCTTAATTGATATATATGAATTTTAAAAATATAGAAAAGATTTTTTTAGACAATTGGAATTACATATATTCTGTAAAGTCTAAAATTAGGAAAAACTAAGTTAGACAATGTATGATGTACAGTCTGGAGAGGTAGTTGTTCAGTCTGCATGTATCAGTAAATGCATGTAAATATACAGTCACGAAGTTATATGACTTCAATGTTGCAATGCATGCTGTTAATGTAATACACATCAAGCATATCAATATAGTTTTCTATCCTAATAAATGTGCTTTTAAACTTTTAAAAACATGAAGCAAATATTCAGAATTTTGGTTTGACATCAATAAAGTTAAATATTCAATTCAAACTTCTCAGAAGTGTACCCTACTATTCACAAGTTTTGGTTTTGAAATTATATGATTAACCAAGTCTTAAACGACAAAGATACCAGAAAAATTACTTTTAATTTCGAGTTTTTTTTTCTTCAGATAATTAAAAAGTATAACTGTTTTCAAAACGATTGTGTTAATGTTAAATTTAGAAAATTCGAAAGACTATTTAAATCAGATTTGTTTTAACAACATCAGCCAAAAAAAAAAAAAAAACCTGAAAAGTGAAATATACATTTTTCGTTGAAATAAAGAAAATAATCATTATAATTAAATTAATGGGTTACCAAGTAATGTAAAATAAAAAGAAATAAATAAGAAGAAACTTTAAAAAGATATATCACAACAGGGACCTAATAAATGTCCCTAATCATGCATCCGTTGCAAATTTTTTTCTCATAAAAGTTGTAATGCTGTTATATTTTCAACCTTCGTGATAGTAACACAGTCAAATTTGGTCTGATGATGAGATTCATCCAGGAAGTAGACCATCTGTCTGTATTTTAGGTCATCTGAGTTCGTCTTCTGATCTGGTCTTGACAATATTGTTCTTACTTTAGATGACGTCATAACTATGATAATGTAATGGGAGTAGGCCTAATAACAGTTGAGAAATGATTTGAGGTTTCCAGATCAGTGTTGTTAAATAAACATATGAATTAAATGTAGTGAAAGACAAAGAAATGATGCTCAGAAAAGTTTATGAGTTGATTATTGTAGGATATATTTGGGAACAAGTTTACTGTTACATGCATTAAAGTTTGAGGTGTCGTTGGGCCGAGGTGTATCACATTTCTTGGACCTCGGTACGTTGAATCCCTTACTGGTCCAGTGCATGCCACTCCCTTTCCCCACTACATTCTTCGACGTTTAGTACTCTGGCTAGACAACCCTTTGTCTCATGATGAAATATCTCAGTTAGTTAATTCTTAGATTTATTACATGTATTTGAATGAAAAGTTTTTTTTAAGAACTGAGTTCTTTGTTATGATTCTCTGACACTGACATACAATTTCAGAATTTAACTGATTTGTCATTAAACAATAAAAGGTAGCAATTTTCTCTTCATGGCTCCGCCCTCACTAACGGTCACACCGTCTAACATATTACAATAAAGTATGCTAACTTCAAAAACATGACTCAATTTCATTGTTTATTACCATAAAATATGTTTAAAAAACACGACTTTTTGTAATTTTTTCAACATTGTTTCCTGTCCAATATTTTTATTTTAACGTTGTAAAAACGATTTTAACGATGTCTGCGTTGTTCCGCCAATGAACATAGCGTATTAGGAAATGAGAACAGAAGAACTGTTAGTTCAGTAATTTTATTTGATCAGAGAGAGAAAAAAGTCTTCTCAAGAACGACAAAGCCATGATTGATCATATTTATAAGACACAAAGTTTGAAAAAGAAATACATTGGAAAATCGTTTCTAAAAATCTTTTTTTTTCAAGAAAAGCAAAGTCATACATCTATTTGGTCATATGTACGAATAAGCCCTAAAAAGTAGTGTAAAATCATGACCCTTAGTTTACATATCAACAAAAGTCAAAGCGGGAAATATGAAAAAATATTCAGTGAATGGTATCTCCTGGATAATGGTGTAACTATAATCTATTCTAATAATTATGTATATTTTTCCCATGGATAAAGGGACTATAACTATGATCGATTCTTATAATCAAAGATGATTTAAATAGTTAGAGATTAGAAGCATGGGCGTGCAAAGGACAATTTTGGTTTCACTCAGATATGGTGCTGTTGACCTTGGGCTACTCATGGATCTTTCGTCTGCCACGCATTTGGTACCGACAAAGGTTGCATTGATATCTGCTAGGCTGGGCGACACGGATTTCAATACTGAATTCAATACTGCGTTATCAGCAGGATTGTTGTTCTGTGGGGCACATGCAGCAGGGACTTCTGGGTCCGTCAGCACACAGTCACGGTATATTATATCAGCACTGACTGTAACAAAACACACACAAGTACTGGTCATCATCATACTAAACTAAACATTGACTGGTAATACTGTGAAAAAGTACTACCATATAAGGGGGTAGATCCTAGAGACGAAAGACAAAGAGATAATGCTCTAAATTTTATTCCTGATATATGTTTTGCAGTAATAATGTAAAAGATAGCTGCGAAAAAATTAGTAGGGCAAAGGAGAAAAAGGTGTGTTTGTTGGTCGATTTTCCAACTCGAGTTTTTAACTGTATTTAACAAGTCAGCAACACTCGTGTCTATTGACAATATAAAAGTTCATAAATTAATATAAAAAAGCTTGCCTTTATTGCAAGGTTAATTTAATCTTATGGATATACTCATTTTTAAATAAATCTTCTCTTACTTTGGGTTCAATATGATTTTTAATGTAGAGAATTTGCGATATAGCTCATAAAATTTTACAAATCTTATTTTCAGCATAATAATTTTCATTGTTGCGGGTTCTTTTCCTTATTATAGTAAATAACAAAAGTCATAAGCGTTTTCACATTTATCTAGATTACATCAACTGTACATAGTATATATTCCGGCTCCACAGTAACCATAACCATTACACCACACACCATACAACACCGAACACAGGACGTAACGTAGGACGTGTAACCTGGAACGTAGGACGTATTACGGGACCTACATAACAAAAAATTGTAAACACATTAAGTTACACATTAATACAGAAAGCAAGTTTACATACAAGTTATTACCCACATAACCCACTATACATGAAATGGGATAATAATGGGGTCAACATCACAGCGCTGCTTTACAGAACTTGTATTAAATGCTTTTACACAATAATTACATTATTTTACATGTAACTTACACTTACACACAGTAACTTCTCTTACATAGTTACTTTACTGTTTAGAATCATAATGAAACTAAATACGACAATACTAGAGCCGATACTTCCAATTAACATTACTCACTATAATATTTATAGAACGTACAAACTATACAAACGAACGAACGAACATTCAAACGAATAAACTAAAATTAAAATACGTTGAAATAACAAAGTTATCCCAGGACCGTTTAATTAACAAAACAGAGAAGAAAATGTAAATAAAACATGTTACTCACCTCAGAAGTCAGTGTCTGTATTAAGGATATAAAATATTATAACTTTACAAAACTTGGACAGTAAAAATTGGTCAATCAGAGCTCGTGCTGTTACATCTTGGAAAGCCGGTTTTTAAGAAGGACGGAAGCCTAAACTCAGGTATATAAATACAGGTAATGTAGAGGTACCAAAGAGGGTGTTCGAAAAGAGGTGCAGAATGGGAAAACTGAAAGAAACTAAGGAACAACGTTAGAACAAATATCACAGTAAATTTAAAATACAAACAAGACAAATAAACAATACAACACCGTAAATGTGACATTCATATCTTAAAATATTTCAGACCATCTTACCTTTGACGATGCCTACGCTAACTTGCAAAGTGCCGTTGTAGGTCCCACATTTGTACACTTGTCCTGACGTTGGATTACTGGGGCACTCAACCAAACTCACGCCATCGGCTGCTTGTGCTGGAGGGGTGTTGGCACATTGAGGACTTTCGGGTATTGCAATGTTTTGGAGAATTGAAGAGAGACTTGAAGGGGGGTCCTTTATAACCACGTGCGTACATTTAGAGCATTCCAATCCTAAATAAAACAAAATAAAATAAAGGACGGTTTTGCAAATAAAATACATGTACTTTATTACATTTATAAATTATAAAAAGAATGTTTCCATCAAATTCCGATTTTTTTACCATAAGACAGATAAGGAAATAATTCTCATTAAACAATCGATTTATAAATAAAGCAAAATTTATCCAATTAAGACGGCTTCTGGTGACATTTACCTCTAAGTCAATTCTTAAGCACTAAGTATGTTTATGCAACACGAGTTAATAATTACTCTGTCTACTTAATTATTAGTGACTCACACGGCATGATCTAGTAAACAGAAAAGATATTTCCTCACTTCCTTCTAAAATTTCTGAACCACAGAGTATTTAAAGAGACTGTTTTGTCTTCTGAATTTTTGTATGTCAAACCACTTATACAAAATTAGTCTGATGCACATTTAACTTACCAAATACTGTGTCCAAGACGGTTAACAGAACAATAACCAGGGATGATAAATCCATTTCAAAATCTGAAAGTAAGAGTTAAAATAAAGAGATATTCACCATAGTGCCTTTAATAAGTTGTCATTGTCTATTCCTATGTATATGATGAATCATTGTTACAAAGAAGAAGTGTTTTCCGTATAAGACCCACTGTTTTTTGAACGATGTAATAATCCATAAGAGCCACTACGATGCATTTGGTAAAGCAGAACAGTTCGTAATTCTTAACAGGATGCAGGTTGTTTCCTAGTAAGGGGTGGGGGGAAAAGATTTCTGTATATTTGTAATAACGTATTTGATAAGCACCTTTCCATTCTTGTTTACTAGAGACCCTTTGATAAGTTGTATATTTTTGTATATGAATCCATTTACCTTCATCAGTGAGTATCACTGATATATGGCAAACCGTTAACTGCTGCAGCCCTTTTCTCGGAGATTAAAATCGGTGATTTATTCACTAACAGGTGTAAAATGTATGCAAATTTTAATTTTGGTGTGTGAAAGTAATTTTTGCGATACGCTCTACTGCACTTACTGTCTGCATGTATATCAGTATGATATTTTAATGAAATCAACAATGCTATATTTTATTAATAATTTCATTTCAGAACTTCGAGAAATTATTATATTGCAGCATATAATAATATCACATTTTTATGGCAAGCCCTTTTGCTATTTATTCGGAAAATAAAAATTTATCTTACAATATCTCGCATTTTAGAGGAATATCTCTTTAGAAATAAAGATATCTTACAACTTAAAGAGATATCTCTTTGAGAAAAAGATATGTCTTAAACTTAGAGAGATATCTCTAATACTTACAGAGATTTCTCCTTTTCCAAACTTTTCACTTAACTAGATATCTCTTTCTCCTTGAGAGATATCCCTTTCGGGAAAAGAAATATCTCTGGACATTAAAGAGAGATCTTTTTTGCCTAGAGAGATATATCTCTTTTTCTTTGGGAAATACCTTTTCAGTTAAAGAGATATCTCTCAATGTAAAAGAAAAATCTCTTGGTTTATCTTAAAAGATATCTCTCAAAGTGAAAGAGTTATCTTCCAAAAGTGTCGAAAAGAGATATCTCTCAAGCAAAAAGAGATATCTCTTTATTTTAAATAGATATTTCTCCTCATTATTTTTATTTTAATTGTTCTTCATTATTTTTATTTAAATTGCGTTTTAAAGACTTCTCCCTTTACTGGAAGCAAGCTTTTTATTCACGGAAGTACATTAAAGATTTCAAAACTTCGACATATAGTTACTATTTGGCATTTCATAAGCTGAGAAAATTCGGTCCATTGCATTTGAGATTTCATGCTTACTTATTTTCCTGAAACTTTTTGCATGTATTACCGAAACTGCCATTATTATTTGTTGTTTCAAACCAGGAATTCATAGAATTTTGTGTACATACTACATAGTACACATATTATTCTGGGTATGACATGCTCAGTCTTTTTTCTCATAACAGAGACTTTCCTTATTTGTTCGCTTTCGTGTGAAAGGGAGAAGTAATTAATTATTTTATTTTAAAGACCACTGGAAAAGAGATATCTCTTTCATTAAAAAAGATTTTTCTTTAGCTAAGAAAGGTATTTTTTGAAAATCTAAAGAGATATTTCTCTGAGAAAGATATCTTTTAACCTTGTTTAAGAGATATTTCTCTAAGTTTTGGAGATATCTCTGTCGTTCTAGCTTATAAAAATATATTTCTAAGTAAAAGAGATTTTGTTGAAAAAGATATCTCTCTAAGGTATAAAGATATCTCTATCTGTCAAAGAGATATCTCTCTAATGTATGTATAAAGTAGGGATGGCAATTTGTAACCGGTTACTCGGTCGGAACGATATCAATCGGTTAGTCGAAATAAAATCAAAATATATTTAAATTTGAACCTTATTTTGCTAAAATTAATTTTCTAAAAAAAATTTTTCCCCCTAAACCTTAATAATTCAGCGTTTTTACTACGCTGCTATAAAGATATCTCCAAGCTGATTTGCATATAATTAATTATGGTTCTCTTGGTTGAGATCGCGGGTAATTGGTCATTTTGTGTTTGAAGTGTTAATATTTAATTACTGTATATACACCATGTCGCTACCTAGACTGTCCTGCATTTCTTCAATGATAATTTAATCACTGTTGAGAACTGCGAATTAGTATGTTTGGTTTTTTTTTACAGTTATCTATCGAATAAATTTCTAAACAAGCTTTGTAAATAAAGTCCTGTACATTTTAGACCTAGTTTTAATTATGGTGACAACACAAAATGAATGTAGGTGAAATCTGCTTTGAAACAAAAATTCTTCGACACGAATCGTGGTTTTCTTAATTTTTTCCAGTCTGTATTGAAACTGAAATAAAATATATAAGCATGTGGGTTTTTTTAAAAGCAAGAATCAAGAAAAATAAAATTATTTAAAATCTAGACTTTACCAGACTTCTTGTACATATGAATGGAGCTACTAAAAGCTATGTACATCAAGAAAATGCGTATTTGATACGGTTAATCGGTCGGAATGTCTTGCGGTTAACCGATAAGTAATACTGTATTCGATTACCATCCCTACTATAAAGATATCTCTATAAGCTAAAGAGATATCTCTCTTATTGAAAGATTTTTTATTTCACGAATAAATAATTGACTAAGCGTTCACATGATTAACGATATATCAAAAGTAAATATACTGAAAGTTATTTATCAGCTAGCTAAAATAAATTTTGCACCAGGAGGCAGAATTGTTTACGTACAAATCTTACTCACCACCATCCTCACCCAACCTGATTATATGCCTTAAAATTTATTGATATTTTAACCCTTTAAAATAGTATTGAAAACGAGTTATAGAAGATATAATATTAAAAACTTACCCCTAAACATGTGCAACACTAGAGATAACCAAATAGAAAAAGTTTGTACCGATATCTCTGACTGCAATTTGCGTCTGGTGCATCAGATTGTCCTGCTCTTCTGTTTTATCGAGAAAATATTTCCTGTAAACAATGCTTTAAGAATTTTTTGAGAAACGCTCAACAGTATTTAACTTTCTTTTTCTGACGTTCAACTTTAACAGGGAAACATGATTTTTGACACTATAAAACCCGTTATTTTTAGAAATGATTTTTTCTTCTAGTAAAAAGTACCCAAATATGATATCAATATGCCAAAAACACTGTGAATTTTTAATTTCGAATTCATATGAATATATCAACTCAATGGAGAAACTGAAATGGCGTCTGTATATAAGTTCACACAAAGATATTTCTTAAATTTTTATGTAAATGTTTATGAATTAATTGTTTACTATATGAATGCAAAGAATAGGTCTGCTAATAACGTGGCGAAATTGGTACCCATGGGAATTCCGACAGAATTTTTGACAGATTCGCAGACTTAATCTTCAAAACCTACAAAGATATCGTCGATCAGAAATTCTAGCATCTTTTCAACAATAACTTATAAAAACATGATAAAGTATCTGATTACGATGTCAAAATTCTGGACCTGAATTTATTTATTTTCTTGGGGAATGGTTGTAGAAAGTGCGAAATGTCAAACATTTTTATGCAATTATTTATGGTGAAAAATGCAAATTCAAACGGAAGAATTCCTTGCTTTTTTCCTAGAGTATCCACGTCTGATTTACACCATTTCTTAAATGTACAGGAGAAAGCCAGTTAAGACTTTATAGACCCGAGTCACAGCAGGCGCTGGTACGATAAAGATTCCTGGCTGCTAAATGAACCTGAGTGCCGAGTAAAGACCAAAAGAATGATAGAATGATGTGTCATACGGTCACCAGAAAACTGACAAAGAGTTAAATGCCTATTTTTACTCTCATTTTTGCATGCACTTAATCACCGATATGTTAAGCTTAATGGAATACTACTTTTACCAAAAGTAGAAGCGTAATTTTGAAGATACAAATCCCTAATTTGGTTTGGAGTACCATGTAAACACACAATTTCCATTGAATTTTGGCTCCGTCCTACTTTTTGAAGCTTTACGTATGTGAGCACAAGAAGATACATTTCTCTCCTTTGGCTATTCACCGTATTTTACCGAAATCTATATCTATACATGTATATACTTTCCCTCAATTTTTTAACCAAATATAGCACAAATACCTATATTTAACCACCAACACGTGTCCTGTGACTTAATTCTGGCCTTACGCATGCGTCAAAATTTAATTCGAATTAGCTTTGCTTAGCGTTCACACGGAGCTAATGCGAAGTAATTTAATGCGCAGTAAATTAATTCGAATTAAACTAATTCGCATTAAATTCTCCGTGTGAACGCTAAGCGAAGCTAATTCGCAATAACTTTACGTTTAATTCGAATCAAACTCTCCGTGTGAACAGGGCATTAATTCGCATTAGTTTACTTCGCATTAGCTGTCGTGTGAACGCAATTTAATTCGCATTAATTTAATTCGCTTTAGTTTAACTCGCATTATCTGGAACATGCTTTTGCGTATTTGATTAACTGAGAGATATTAACCCCGTACAAGTGAAAAGGGCTACATTAACATATACGTATAAGTAATTAAGGTTAAACGATTGAAAAGTTAAAATATCTAAATGTGAAATAGACGTATTAGACTCTGTCGAACCTTTAACCTGAAGCACACTAAGTCAATATTATGTCAAGATATGAATGGAAATTACTATTGTTAATTCAATAATTAATTCAGTATAGGCTCCGTAAGTCTCGGCACGTGACTTCCGTGATAATGCGAGATTATTTACTCCCGGGCAGTCGAAGTTATGGCGTTGTAAATAACTATGATTGTTACTTCATGTAAATACAAAAATATGTCTGCAAATAACGGGTTGCAAGTGGCACCCTTGGGAATTCCAAAAGATTGTTGGAAGCCCTGGTCTCGTAAAAACTACATAAATATTGGCAATGAGAAACTCAAGCATCTTTTATTATCAACTTCAGAGTACTGTAAATCACTTTTTTCGCAAGAACTTTATTTTCGCGTAATTTCGTGAGCCCGTCTATTCGCGGAAATTTTATTCTCGCGTGTAATTGTATTATTAATATTTATATACAACAGAAACCACAACTCGCGAAAATTTTGTCTCGTTAATAAATATCAAAAAGCTTAGTCGTGAAAATAAATTGTCGCGAAAATATAGTGATCTACAGTATATGTTACTTTTCCTCATAACCTCCGATATGCAATTTGTACCCTCCTCATCATCAAATACTAAAATTCTATATATATACAGCGTATTTACTGTTTTATTCCAGTCCGTCATCTCAATTCTAAGTGTGTAGTGATCCTGATTTGTGAGTCGGTGTATCACGTTGTTTCCGAGCCAATGTTCTCCATATACTCTTACAAAATAATATTCGAAGAGTTAAACAAAACAACTACCTTAGATATCTCCTTGGTGCGAATAGCTTGAAAGGCAAAACACAATTTACTATGCGAGATGGTATTTCTTCGTAATTTGAAATTTCTTTCATAATCTGATGTAAAAAAGAAATAATAAAGTAGGGAAATGATAGACATGATTGATATTTATTTATGTACTCCCAATTTTCTTTTGGCGTACTAGTATGTAAAATGTGAAGATAATAAAAAATGTTCAATCTCATAAATCCAGTAAACAAAGCAAATCGTGACTAGGCAAAACATGGAAAAATCAAATTGTGAACAGGCAAAGACGAGCGTAATCAAATTGTGAACAGGCACAGACGTGGAAAAATCAAAATGTGAACAGGCAAAGACGTGGAAAAAACAAATCGTGAACAGGCAAAGACATGGATAAAACAAATCGTGAACAGGAGACAAAGACATGGATAAAACAAATCGTGAGGAGACAAAGACATGGATAAAACAAATCGTGAGGAGACAAAGACATGGATAAAACAAATCGTGAACAGACAAAAACATGGAAAAAACAAATCGTGAACAGACAAAAACATGGATAAAACAAATCGTGAACAGACAAAGACATGGATAAAACAAATCGTGAGGAGAAAAAGACATGGATAAAACAAATCGTGAACAGACAAAGACATGGATAAAACAGATTGTGAACAGACAAAGACATGGATAAAACAGATTGTGGACAGACAAAGACATGGACAAAATGAATCGTGAACAGATAAAGACATGGAAAAAACAAATCGTGAACAGACAAAGACATGGATAAAACAAATCGTAAACAGACAAAGACATGGATAAAACAGATCGTGAGCAGGCAAAGACATGGATAAAACAAATCATAAATAGGCAAAGACATGGATAAAACAAAATCGTGAACAGACAAAGAATGTACAAAAAGAATCGTGAACAGACAAAGAAACTGTGGAAACTTCGGTACTTTGTTTATTTAAATAGAAGGTAATTAATATTCATAAATTGTAGTTTTCCTAAACGATTTGCAGGCCCATTTCTCATTCAAGTTGGGATTGCAATATCGTACGGGGCCTGGTTGCACTCCAGCGTTCCCTGGTTACCGGGATGAAGAGTACCTTCTGGAGATGTATGTCGGGTTGTAATTCGACCTCTAAGACTTTGAGTACAGTAAACTATATATGTTTAGGAGTAAGAGTGTCTGAGAATAGGGAACAATTAAGGCCAGAGGACCTTTGACTATACGATTCCAGGAGAAGGTTCTTTCGTCGTTGAGTAATATAATAGAACACTACTCTTCTTAACAAATTCAGATAAAACAATAGCATTATATAAAAGGAATTTCGAAGTTATATCTTATATATTATTGTTCTATGTCCTTAAGGTATATCTAAAAATAATATTTGCTTGTTAGATTGTTTGTTTGTTTTCACCTAGCCATCATTTTGAGAACTCAATGTTTCAATGTTTTTTAAATAGATTTGCGAGTTGTTGCTGGATAAGTTTGGACTATGTCTGGTGGATCCAAGTCAATTCGAACAGTCGTCTATTTGGCCACCAGGAGTGATATCCAGTAACCTAACACCTGTCCTGTCACAACAGGGAAACCATTGAACACGTAAGACCCATCATCTTGTTTTAATATACAAAGTAACAAGAGGCCCATGAACCACAACGCACACCTGAGCACCGTGGCTAGGAAAAAAGCAAAAATCAATCCAGTTTTGAAAAACTTAAATACATGTGGTCACAACTTACCCCTAAAAGGCAGAAGGAAGGGTGATTTGAGTTAACTTGAACCTACAAAGGATGCTTACATATTTCTTAAGCTTGCTGTGGCTTTTTTCCCTAGAAGTCTGTTCTGTCGTTTACTAGTATGCCCCACCCTATCCCCGGGGTTCATGATTTGAACAAACTTGAATCTTCACTACCTGATGATGCTTCCTCATAAATATGACCAACCATGGCTTTTTTGTTCTTGAGAAGAATATTTTAAAAGATTTTTCCTATGTATTCCTATGTTAAACTTTAAAACCCCATTGTGAATTCTGAAACCGAATTCTGATACTTTACAATTCTGTTGTGTTGGGAATGAACATTTGGAAGATGCATCTACTTTCAACATAAGGAAAAATATAAAGCAAATCGAACGCCTTTTTGTGTGCAGATCATGAAATGTACTGAGCTCCACGGGTATTTGTTGTCCCGAGCGCATTAATCTTGAGGCCCAAATTCTTACTTGGCTAGTGATACCTTTAGAAAACATGTGTTTCTAGATGAAAGTTAACTCGGCAACATGCGCCATCCCATTGTTCAAGTTTTATAAGGTGATTACACCTCCTATACCCGATTTCGCGGATTCAACGATACCCTAATATCGAGTATTATACGCGATTTCACGGATAAAACCCGATTTCGAGTATTCTCTCCGACCTGTTTATTACAATAAAATATGTTTAAAAAGATGACTTTTTGTATTTTTTTTTCATCATAGTTCCCTTTCTAAAAAATTTATATTAACGTTGTTAAAATGTCTACGTTGTTCCGCCACTGAACATAGCGCATTAGAAAATGAGAACAGAAGAACTGTTAGTTCAGTAATTTTATTTGATTAGAGAGAAAAAAATCTTTTCGAGAATGGCAAAGCCATGAATGATCATATTTATATGACACAAAGTTTGAAAAAGAAATACGTTGGAAAATCTTTTCTAAAAATCTTTTCTTTCCAAGAAAAGCAGTCATATTGATCATATGAAGGATATGGAGACATGAACAGTATTCAATATCAAAGTCCAAAAAAACAATACAAAATAGGAGCAGAGCAAACACCGTCCTCCGAAACATCAGAGGTGGGATCAGGTGCCATGGAGGAGTCAGCATCCCCTGCTGACCGGTCACACCCGCCGTGTTCTCCCTGTCATGGTCGGGAAATAACAATATAAAACCGTCGTCAATTCAGTGTATTAGTGATGGACTAACAATTAGTATAAAAAACGTCAGTCAGCATTTGACTCAATAATAAATTGTATTTGCTGAAAAGGTCATTCTATCGACCATAGAACTTACGAAATGATGACTTTCAACGAGACTGCTGATGTTCTTGTTTCATCAATTTTCTTGTCAATAATTTACCTCGTTTTAAAAATTGTTCATACGTAGAGCATGCTCTTGCGTATCGAATCAACTGAGATATAATTATACACCCCGTATGCAGATGATGAAGGAATATTGCTGCATAAGTAAGAGAAGTTGACGATAGTAAGGTTAAAGTCATTACGTTTATCATATTGCTAGGTTGTTAAATTACCATTAACGTCTTTTTCAAGTAAAATATCCAAGTATGAAACACATGTGTATGGAAAAAAGCCTGAAAAGCATGAAAAGATAGTGTAAAATTATGACCCCTGGTTTACATATCAACAAAAGTCAAAGCGGGAAATATGAAAAAAATATTCGGTTTATGATATCTCCTGGATGAAGGGGGTAATTATGATCTATTTTAATAACTATGCACATGATATACCTTGGATAAAAGGGATAACTATGATCGATTCGATTCTTATAATTAGAGATGATATAGATATTTAGAGATTAAAAGTATGAACGTGTAAAGGACAATTCTGTTGTCACTCAGATGTGTTGCTGTTGCTGCTACGCATCTGGTACCTTCGAAGGTGACAGCATTGATATTTGCTAGGCCGGACAACACGGATTTCAGTACTGCGTTATCAGCAGGAATGTTGTTCTGTGGGGCGCATGAAGCAGGGACTGCTGGGTCCATCAGAACACAGTCACGGTATACTATATCAGCATTTACACTGACTGTAACAAAACACACACAAGTACTGGTCATCATCATAAACTACACATTTACTGGTAATACTGTGAAAAAGGTACTACCTTATAGGGAGTAGATCCTAGAGACAAAGGACAAAGAGATGCTCTAAATTTTATTCCTGACATATGTTTTGCAGCAATAATGTAAAATATAGCTGCGAAAAAATTAGTAGGGTAAAGGAGAAAAAGGTTTCATAAGATGTGTTCGTTGGTTACTGATTTTTCCAACTCGAGTTTTAACTGTATTAAACAACTCAGCGACACACGTGTCTATTGACAATTTAAAAGTTAATAAATTAAATAAAAACAAGATGTGTTTGTGAAAAACAGATGCCCCCGTATGGCAACATAGCGAAGGTAAAGCATTCTCTAATGCTGATCAAATATGTTGGTACCTTAAATAAGGCCTTTTCAGAAGAAATACATATGTGAAATAAAAAACCCTAGCACCATCTGTTCAAAGGTTATGACCAAGGTTAACATTTTTAAAGGAAGAACAAACTCTGGGTCAAGGTCAAAGGGTCAAGGTTGTTAATTTCTAAAGAAAGGCCTTGTCTCAAAGATTACACATGTTAAGTATGAAAGTGCTGGCCCTTACTGTTCAAAAGTTATGGTCAAGGTTAAAGTTTGTAAAAAGAAGGTCAAACTCCAAAGTCAAGATCAAAATTGTTGATATCCAATTAAAGGTCTCCTCACAAGGATTACATATTTGAAGTATGAAAGCCCTAGCCCTTACTGTTCAAAAGATATGACCAAGGTCAAAGTTTTTTCATAAGTACGTAAATCTCAAAGGTCAAGGTAAAAATTCTTGGTTTCAAATGAAAGGCCTTACCAAAAAAAAGAAGTGATATTTGAAAAATGAAATTTCTAGTATCTACCATTAAAAAATTAGGGCCATAGTAAAAAGTTTGCAATTTTTGTGTAAGAAGGGGTCTAACTCCAAGGTCAAGGTCAAAAGGTCAAGGTTTTTGGCATCAAATGAGAGGTCTTGTCACAAGGATTCAATATGTGAAGTAGAAGTATGAAAACCCTAGTACTAACCCTTCAAAAATTATGGTCAGGGTTGTATTTTTAAAGTAGGTTAAACTCCAAGGTCAAGGTCAAAGGGTCAAGGTTCTTGGTATCCAATAAAGCGTCTTCTCACAAGAATGTGAAGTATGAAAGCCGTAGCACTTTCTGTTCAAAAGATATAACCAAGGTTAAAGTTTTTTTAATAAGTACAGAAATATCCAAGGTCAAGGTCAAAAGGTCAAGGTTGGTGGTATCCAAATATAACCAAGCGGAGATGGAAAACGCAGGTTCAGTTTATCAATTTATAAGGAAAAGAAAAAGCAATGGCAGATCTACAAATAAAAAAAACATATATACAATATCCTAATACACATAGACACTGAGACAAAATACTTTTATTTCCTATTCACTTCAAAAAATAAAAAAAATTTAGTTTACTAAGCCCAAAACGTCATTTTCATAGTTTAAAATACCTTTCTTTCAAAAATAGGTAAAATACTTGAGCTTATAACTTGGACTTAATAAATAAAATACGAAAAATTAATAGACTAAGAAAATTACCTTTCAAGTGGTGACAACGGGCAGCTGGTAATAAGTAAGTTAAATTCCCCGCACTGACAGGGATGGGCCCATGCCCCAGTATATATAGCAGAAAACCGGTTGAACAAGGGGGTAAAAATTTACTGACCAATGAGATTTTGTGAGTAGAATTCATGAATGGAGACTACTACCAAATATGGCATAAAGTAAATTTGGGCTCAGTAAGTTATTCAATAAAGATAAAAAATTATTTTTAATAAATATGACTCTGCCACACAATGAAAGGTCTTCCAGCAAAAAATACACATGTCAAGTATAAATGCCCGGGTATCTAATTTGCAAAAGAATGGTCAAAGTAAAAGTTCATATTTTTGTGTAAAAGTGGGTCAAACTCCAAGGTCAAGGTCAAAAGGTCAAATTTGATGGTACCCAAAGAAAGGTCTTGTCGCAAGGAATACACATCTGAAATATAAATACCATAGCTCCACTAAATCAATAGTTATGGGCAAGGTTAAAGTTTTTGCGGACAAACAGACAAACAGAGAGACAGACAGACAGACGGACACGACAAAACTATATAGCCCCGAAACTTTGTTTACGGGGGCATAAAAAACAGCTTGCCTATATTGCAATATAAATTCAATCTAATGTATATACTCATTTTTAAATAAATCATCTCTTACTTTGGGTTCAATATGATTTTTAATGTAGAGAATTTGAGATATAGCTCATAAAATTTTGCAAATCATATTTTCAGCATAATAATACACATATCTATAAATTCACCCACACATTCTTACCGGTGATGAGTACGCCAATTTTCACGGTAACGGTACCAGTGTAGGTCACACACTTGTACACCTGTCCTGACGTTGGATTACTGGGACACTTGACCAAACTCACGCCATTGGCTGTTTGTCCTGGAGGGGTGCTGGCACATTGAGGACTTTGGGGTAATGCAGTGCTTTTGAGAAATGAAGAGAGAATTGAAGGGACGTTCTTTATAACCACGTGAGTACATTTAGAACATTCCAATCCTAAATAATGCAAAATAAAATAATTTATTTTAGTTGTAACACGTCATTTGATTGGGTAAAAGATTTAATTTATTTTGTATAACATAACTTGCCTACGTCACAATGAATTACATCAAAAACGTATTACTCCGCTTGACGTTACTTTTAAAATATGCTTTATTTAAAGCCTTTTTTCCGGCGAAAAAATTTTCTCATTTTCTACACTGAAATTAAATTATAACCCATTTCAACTTAAACTTCGCGGTTTTTAAAGCGTAAACTGCCCCAAGTTAGGTTATTCTTATAAAAAAGTTGAAATCGGCTTCATTCCTTAAATAAAGGATGACGATGCAAACAAAGCACGGAAACTTCTTTACTAGTATTATATTTAAAGAGTATAACGAGCATACTTCCCTTGTTTGTTTGTTTGTTTTTTTTTTTTTTTTTTTTTTTTGTTTTTTTTTATTTTGCTATTAGACGGAAAAGGACATCATTCTCATTAAACTATTGATTTATAAATAAAGTAAAAGAACAGGGTTCACTTTTGCCTTATTTTGCCCTGTGACTTTCTGAAAAACTGAAACTGCATTGTTTTGGATAACGATGCATTAAAATATCACTTAGATCTTTGGTGACTGCGATCCTATAAAAAATGACGTCATTTTCTGGCTAGTCAATGGATTATGACGTCACGAAATGCGTCAATTTCTTCATATTCCGAAAAAGCCTACAAAAACGGCCTATTTTTAAAGTTATTTTTTGATATATGATATAGAGCGCAACCTTTGATCTAAAATGTACAACTAGTAAATGATAGAACTGTTTCTGAGGGTTCGTGGACATGTTTCATTTTTTAGATCAGAGGGTGCGCTCATATTATTTTTCTTCACTGAAGGTACTCAATTATTCCTGTTTACCTAAAAATTAAAGAACATTGCAATTTCATAAATCCAGTTCTTCAAGACCTGGACTGTGAGGAGGAATTTTTTAATAGGATATGACAGCACCAAGTCTCTATTTTATTTTGATGCTTCAAATAGAAAATCAAGTGTTGATCAATTAATTGGTATATCTACAGGGCCATTTTATGCATAAAGTGAACCGACTTCTTTATCTACTTAAGACGCCTTCTGGAGACAACTAACTTAAGCACTAAGTATTTTATAAATTACACATAAGTATATATATTTTTTTTCAAATTTAAGTAGTACTTAGTAAATTTGTGGAAAATACCTATTTTAAGTGATTTTTAACTTAAGAACATATATTAAGAAGTTTATGAAACCCAGCCCTGGTTCCCTGAACGAGCTTCTCTTACATTGCAGAGGCTTAAATCTTTTTTTTTTAAATGATTAATGGCGTCCCTGGAGTCTTTTGTAGGGGTTTAGGAATTTTCATTTTCACTATGGAGGACAAAAAAAGGAATTAAAATAGTTTGATTTTTGTTCTTTAGACTTTTGTTCCCTAAACTCTTCTCACATTTGTCAGAGAAGTCCATTCATATTTTGGAGTATAATTTGGAGGGTCCTCAGTGTAGACAATTGAAAGGCGGGACAAAATCCCCTCTCCACAACCATCCCCCCCCCCTGGTTTGAAGTACCAAATATGTTTTGAAATAGGATTGGTAGTGACCTGTATAAGATTTTGAAATTTCTATCTTCACCGTTAGGATCAAATGAAAGCCCGAAAGCGATTTTCCTTTCTACAAGTAAATCCCATCTGACATTTTTAAGTAGCTTATTTATATTTTGGAAAATGTTTGCTTGTGTCCTGTTGATATGCATAGAGTTGCAGTAAGGTTTTTGTAATTTTATTTTTCATCGTATGGCCCGAAATGTTTTTACTACAAAAACCTGATTTTAGAAGTTTTCTTACATATTTCAGAATTATTTTTTCTTTGGTATTTGATTAGTTTTGTCATTTGAATAAAACAAAATCTGTAGTATTACGTATTCGTAGAGAGAAACATAAGTGGGCATACTTACACGTCATTAAGTATATGTCGGTAACATTTCCTCGAAGACCATTCGCTGACGAGCAAAGCCATGGATAAAATTCAATGGCTATCAAAAAACACTTTACTTAATTGAAGTAAAAGAAGAGAAAATAATAACTTTGTGTTTTATCTATTTCGTCGCAACTATGGCTCATTTTTGTTATTTTAATCAATGGAATACCGTGAAATCACTAATATTCAAGGGGGTAGTTAACTTTCGTTATTTTTGACGTATATGGAGAAAACATCGGATTTATGAACACCACAAAATGTAAAATTCATATGCATTACTATTAAACCTTTTCCAATGAAAAATGAACTTCATATACATAAAATTCTGGTATGGCTGCCTTTAAAGACTAGGGTTTTTTGACTCTCGTTGTATTTGCAGTTCATATAAGGAAAACATCAATTGTCATAATTTGATTTATACGGAATGCTTCCTGAGTATATTCTTCACTTTTAAAAAGCCTTTTTTACCGCTATGATGGCAGAGGCGTAGTCACAAACTTAAAAGTGGGGGGGCTCAACTCCAGAAATTCTCTGACAAGCAAAAAAAAAAAAAAACTAAACAAACAAACAAACAAACAAAAAACAACCTAAAAGTGGGGGGGGGGGGCTCAACTCCAGAAATTCTTTGACAAGCAAAAAAAAAAAAAAAAAAAAAAAATAACGAAAACATGAAGTTCCCCAAACTCGAAAATCCTATTTCGTTGGGGGGGGGGGGGGGGGGGTAATGGCCACATATAGTAAAGGTAATGGGGGGGCGGGGGCACAGACATACTCTTGCCCCCCCAGATCTGAAAGTGGGGGGGGGGCTAGTGCCCCCGCTGCCCCCCCTGTGACTACGCCTATGGATGGATTTAAGGAACAAGGAAACAAATTAAAGGTATATCCGGTATTTCTAGCTGTTCTTGGTCTTCTAGATGAATTTTATAGTTTTTAAGATTTTTTTTTCTACATTTCAGATTTAAGCTAAAACAAATCACACCTCACGTCATGCACTTTAAGCTACATGGAGAAGAATTCTTACATTCTAATTCAACAATTTGAGTTGCAAGAGGATTTGTGTTTTATGGAACTACTAGGGTATTAATGTATTTACTGTTGAATATACAAATGGGTGTGAAATGTTTTGAGTATGTTTCGCTTCAGGACAAAAAGATTTCCTTTACTTAAAATACTAGTATGTCACCTCCGCTGACGAAATCAAATGCTGCATAAACATTTTCTTTTTTCATGTGTCGATTTGTGGAGTTATAAGAGCTACTTTTTTGCACATTTGATTATGATGCCACGATGAATAAGAATAAGAAATTTCTTTATATCATCATCTTGCTATTCTGAAAAAGGGCTTGCCAATTCCTAATTCAAACATAAGGGTGAAAGAATTCTTAAGGAGACGCTATTGGCTGAGTATACTAGTAGACGCTCAAGGAAGTAGTAGAATATAGTAGCTAGAACATATGGTGGCATATTTGACCCCTCTACCTGCAAGACAAATTATGTCAACAAGCAGGAAAACTGTGTCAGCATTCAGGATATTTATGTCTACGTCATGAATATTATTTATCTTAAAATAATTATCCCACATTTTGACATCAATAAGTAGCATCTCAACATCTGGTATCATGTTATCATTAATATTTTGAATTTCTACATATAATATTCTTACATGTTAAATATAATCAACGTGCATCCTTACATTAACTTACATGATTATATTTAAGAAATAAAATATCATTTTTAGAGTGTCATTGGGGTATGACATGAAGTCGGTCACGTGATCAAATTCTATAACGCCCGAAGGGCGTTATAGTAAATTTGATCACGTACCGACTTTATGTCATACCCCAATGACACTCTAAAAATGATATATATATTCTACGTTTTTATTCATGTTACAAAGAAATATAGGCATTATTTAGACTTGGATTTTGAAATGCAACGTAACGTATCTACGACGTTATGTGACGTCACAGTCGGAACTTTCCAAATTGCTCGTGCAGTTTGCTTTCCATACGCAAGAAAGTCTGATCACGTGACCGACTTCATGTCATCGAAAATTGAATTTCAATTTTTTAGTATTGTCATATAAGGAAAGACATTGGCAAATGTAAATATAATGGAATATAAGAAGATAACGAACAGTATTCAAGCTCAATAGTCCATCAAACAACACAAATCTGGAGCAAAGCAAACACGGACCTCCGAAACATCAGAGGTGGGATCAGGTGCCATGAAGGAGTCAGCATCCCATGCCGACCAGTCACACCCGCTGGGTGTCCCTTGCCATGACTGAAATAACGAAATATCCGCCGTCAATTCAGTGTGTAATTAATGGACTTACAATTAGTATGAAATTGTCAGTCAACATTTGACTACATGATAAACGGTATTTGCTGACAATATCATTGTACCGACCATAAAACTTACGAAAAGATGACTATAAACAAGACTGGTGATACATGTATTCTTGTTTCATCAACATTTCTGTAAATAATTTACCTCGTTTTAGTAAAATACGTAGAGCTTGCTCTTGCAAATCGAATCAACTGAGAGATACTGCTGCGTAAGTAAGAGAAGTTTATCAAAGACCTTGGTTGTTTGATAAGTTTAATGCAACTTTAATTCAACATTATATGTCACCGAATCCCAATAATGTTTGCTCTGTTCCTGATTTGTATTGTTTGATTGGATTATTGAGCTTGTATACAGTTTGTCATTACTATAATATCCAGTTTAGCTTGTCTACTTAATAATATTGCATCTATGATATCGGATACTGACGTTTAAATCTATATGTACCCTTTTTGACATTCAGACCCAAAATATGACTTCATAAGGATGCACATGAACAATTTGTAGATATCATTTCTCATTTTGATAATTCTAATTTTTCTTTCTAAGTAGTGTAAAAAAATTTGCCATAAAAAATTATCATCGATACAATATACGGTATAACATTACATAAAATATATTTTTTTCTTTTGTTTGTACACGCAGCCATAGTTTAGCTGAAATACTGCTGACTCAATCAAGTAATTGTTATCATTTTATTACTTTTTACAACTATCATTTGTGCAAAATTTTATGCGTGAAAAGAAGAAAACATTTGCTGTGGCCTTCAACTCGACATTTAGATATATCGACGACGTAATAACAATTAACAATGGTAATTTCCATTCTTACGTCGATTCTATATATCCTGGTGAGCTTGAGATAAAAGATACCAAAGAGTCTGATAATTCTGTTTCATACTTGGATATTTACTTGAAAAAGACGTAAATGGTAATCTAACAACCAAGCTATATGAAAAACGTGATGACATTAACTTTTCTATCGTCAACTTCCCTTATTTATGCAGCAATATACCTTCATCACCTGCATACGGACTATATTTATCTCAGTTGATTCGATAATCAAGAGCATGCTCTACGTATGAACAATTTCTAAAACGAGGTAAATTATTGACACGCAAGTTGATGAAACAAGAATATCAGCAGTCTCGTTGAAAGTCATCATTTCGTAAGTTCTATGGTCGATACAATGACTTTGTCGGCAAATACAAGTTATCATCGAGTCATATACTGACTGACGTTTTTCATCCTAATTGTTCGTCCATTATTTATACACTGAATTGACGACGTATTTTTCCGTTATTTCTCGATCATGGCAAGGAGCACACGACGGATGTGACCGGTCAACAGGGGATGCTTACTTTTTCATGGCACCTGATCCCACCTCTGATGTTTCGGAGGTCCATATTTGCTCTGCTCCTATTTTGTATTGTTTTACGGACTTTGATTTTGAATACAGTTTTTTATATCCATATTCCTCTTGATAAAATATATTACATGTTATAATTCAACAGAAATTTAAGAGCTCAAAATATTATTCTTTGAAGTCAGGATTTATTTTTCTCCCTTTTTTATCATTTTAACTTTTTGACTGTTTAGTTTTTCATTTGGATTTTATTTTGAACATTGCATGCAGCAGACCAAGTTTAATTCAAATAGGTCCAAAATTACCGGTATTTCACATTAACACATTTTTATTAATATAGAGTGAAAAGTTGGTTGTTTCTGTGAGTTCTTCATATAATTTCTGTCTATGACTTTGCATCTAGTTCCGAACAAAAAGAATTACAGTGATCTTGTTTACATGAGTGTTTAAATGAATGTGTGTAATTAATGAACAAGGCAACACAAGTAATTAATTAGTCTCTCTTCTTGATTATTAGTGACTCACACTACAGGATCTAGTAAGCAGAAAAATATTTTTTCTAGTTTCCTTCTAGAATTTTTTCTAAACCATATAGTATTTACAGAGACTAATTTGTCGTCTGTGTTTTTGTATGTCAAACCACTTATACAAAATTAGCATGAAGCATGCACATATTACTTACCAATTACTGTGTCCAAGATAGTTAACAGAACAATAACCTGTGATGATAAATTCATTTTAAAATCTGAAAAAAGAGTTAAAATATACAAATATACACCATAGTCACCCTACTATGGTTATTTTATTTAGATTTAAAGACACGTGGTTAGGTTGACCTATTGAAAGGTTATAGGGTAGAACCGATCTTATAAATGAAATTAACAAGAAACAGGAAAATGCTACAGTCTGTTTCTTTTGAAAACATGCTCTGTGAAAAATGTGTTTTCAGACCATTCTGAAAGACTTTCATGATTTTCAACAGAAAAGGGTGGCTAAAGGGGGTGGGGTTAAAATAACAATTATATATCTTATCATAATTTACGGCGAAAATTAGAGCTCACTAGCGACCGATACGCTTGAAAAAAATAAAAAATATATGTAATATCATAAACCTTTGTTTGCCTTATATGGCTATTGTTATGAATGCACGCAGAGGATCTTACCACGAGCAACTGGCCATACATTCGTTGAATAGCAACGTTTACGCCAAATACATATTTACATTTTACTTCGAACACGTGCTTCAGGTCAATCTATAATCATGTCAATGGAGTGAAAATTTAAAAAAAATGTTCTAATGAACAAAATACAACGATTGGAAACTATAAAAGATGTCATGGGCGTTTTTAATCTTTTATTAAGCAATGGAAAAGCAAAGGGCAGCATCTCTAAAATTTGCTAAAATTTTGTTGTCAGAAAATGGTGTAAAAAATAAACAAAAGGGTGGTAGTCTGTTACGGACTGATACAGTGAGATGACGACATGTACAGTCTTGAAAGTTTTTTTCAGAAACCTTCTTGAAGTATTACTGCAAGAGTATATCAATGAAAATAAATAAAATGCATTATTTTCATGGGGAAAAAAAATAAAAATGAAATATTTCTTTCGAGAGAAAAAAATTGAATTTCAGAATATGAGTTCAATGTTAATTAGTAAATAAAAAATCTACAATGTAATTAATTTCAAACTTCTAAAACTCAAAAGATTATATGCCTTAAAATTTATTGATATTTTAACCCTTTTAAATAGTATTGAAAAACGAGTTATAGAATATGTAATATTAAAATCTTACCCTTAAACATGTGCAACACTAGAGATAACCAAATAGTAAAAGTTTGTACCAATATCTCTGACTGCAGTTTGCATGTGGCTCACCAGATTGTCCTGCTCTTCTGTTTTATCGAGAAAATATTTCCTGTACACAATGCTTTAATAAATTTTTTTTTTTTTGGAAACGCCCAACAATACTTAACTTTCTATTTCAATTTTAACAGGGAAACATAATTTTAACACTATAAAACCTATATCCGTTGATTAGACATAAAACATATATCTGTTGATTAGAAATTAGGTTTTCTTCTAATAAAAAGTATCCAAATATGATATCAATATGTCAAACTCTAGGATTTTTTAATTTCGAATTCATATATGTATTCTAATCAATTGAGAATTGGAATTAAATATTAAAAACTGAAATGGCGAGTTCACACAAAGATACAACATTTAGTGCACAATTATTTCACAAACATTTACATAAAAAGAAGTATGTTTGTGTGAACTTATATTATAAAAAATCAAAGTGTTTGAAATATCATTACTCCTCACTAATATATTGACTGTAAAAAATGAAAAACTTCAAGAGCACTGTGCAACAATATATTCAAGAAGTGGTGTGATTCAGATGAGGATACTAAAAAATTCCAATAAACTTTTGGACAATTTGAAATCACAAAATTTTTACCAAAATCAATATCTTTAAAACGAATTCTCAACTTTATACACAACGATTCCCTGTGATAAATTAAAGTCCAGGCGTTTTGATATCATTGACAGCTGCTTTTTAAATAAATATGGAACTCGTAAATTTACTTACCTGGTCATTGGTCATTTGCAAAATCATTTTGTTAAAACACATTCTGATTGCACACACAAGTACTCTGAAGCTGACATCAAAAAGGCGTCAGTATCTATGTGGTTTTTGGAGACCAGGTATTATAAAAATTTATTGGAATTCCCATGGGTACCATTTGGGCTCCGTTATTAGCAGACCTATTTTTATATGCATATGAAGCAGATTTTGTTCAAAATCTTATGCGTGAAAAGAAGAAAACACTTGCTGTGGCCTTCAACTCGACGACGTATTGTCATTTAACAATGGTAATTTCCACTCCTACGGCGATACGAGCCATATAATAAATGTGATGACTTTAGCTTTTCTGTCGTTAACTTCCCTTACTTATGCAGAAATATACCTTCATCACCTGCATACGGATCGAGTGTATATATCGATAAACGATTTGCAGGTCCAGATCTCATTTAAGCTGGGATGACGATATGGTACGGGGCCTGGTTGCACTCCAGCGTTGATAGGTTCCCTGGTTACCGGAATGAGTGGTACCTTCTGGAGATGTACGTCGGGTTGTAATTCGACCTCTAAGGCTTTGAGTACTGTAAACTATATATGTGTAGGAGTAAGCGTGTCTGAGAATAGGGAACAATTAAGGGGAGAGGACCTTTGACTATACATTCCCAGGAGGTTGAGTAATATGATAGTACACTACTCTTTTTAACAAATTCAGATAGCAAAATATCATTATATGAATTGAATTTTGTAGTTGTATCTTATATATTGTTGGTCTATGTCATTAAGCTATATCAAAAAATTATTTGCTTGTTAGATTGTTTGTTTGTTTTTACTTAGCCATCATTTTGATAACTCAATGTTTCAATGTTTTATATTTTTTAAATAGATTTGCAAGTTGTTGCTTGATACGTGTGGATTTGGAAATTCAGTTGGTTCCTGGTCAATTCGAACAGTCGTAAATTTGGCCACTAGGAGTGATATCCAGCAACCTTACACCAGTACAGTAACAACAGGAAAACCATTGTACACGTAACACCCATCATCTTGGTTTAATATACAAAGTAACAAGAGGTCCATGAACCACATCGCACACTTGAGCACTTTGGCTACAGAAAAAATGCAAAAATCAATCCAGTTTTGAAAGACTTAAATGTACAGTGACGTGCCAAAATTGATGCAACTTTTCCCTGATGTCATTGTTTCAAAACAAACTTTCTTGCATTTTCAAACCATCATAATTCAAAAATTATAAAAGGTACTTACTTGAAATTTTCAGTATTTAGTGATGTGACCTTTAGCAGTAATTACAGATTGTAATCTTCTTGGAATTGTGCGGTATAAGTTTCTAATATAAGGGACAGTTAGAGAGGACCAAATGTTCATAACTTCAGAGATCAAATCATCTTTGGATTTAATTGCTGCTAGTGATTTTCTCAGTCGAATTTTTAAAATTAGCCAGACATTTTCAATGATGTTGAGGTCCGGTGACTGTGATGGCCATTCAAGACAATCTAAATCATTCTCACGTTTCCAAGCTGTTGTCATTTGTGAGGCATGGCAGGGGGCATTGTCATCCTGGAATAAAAATGACGAATTTCCAAAATGTTTCGCAATGACTGGCCATAAATGTTCATCAAAGGTCTCAATATACTTCTCAGAACTCATATTTCCAGTTATTGGAACCAATGTCCCCACTCCTGAATATGTCACACATCCCCAAAACATAGCGCTCAACTTTACATTGCGGCCATGTTGACCAACACACTCTGGACGATACGCTTAATCCTGGGTTCTCCACACATACAGACAATTTTCATTTGATATCACTATCCGAGTTTCATCTGAAAAAAATCACTTTTCTCCAATATTCATCAACTTTCTAATTTTTCATATGTTTACACCATTGAACACGACGTTTTTCGGTTCACTTCTGACACAGTGAGGCTCTTCCTTACTTTGTGTCTATGAATTCCATGAGAATGGAGTTTCCTCTGAACAGTCCTAACAGACACCTTGTCAGTAGCTTGTTGGTGTAAATTATCCACGATTTCATTCAAAGTTTGTCTTCTATTCTTATTCACAGTCCGAATCAAAATTCTGTCACTCCTCTCATCAATCAGACTCTTCCTAACTCTATTGGAGCTCTTTTCCATACTTTCCTCATTGATAAATATCTTCAGAAGTTTAAAAATCGTAGATTTATTCACAGAAAATTTTCTGCCAAATCACTTTGTTTTTCGCCTCGTAGGTACAAATCTTAAGCCAGTTTTCTTTGCTCCTCTGACATTTCTTGTCGTCTGCCCTCCATTGTTTACAGTGAAAACACTAGAGAGTTAAAACAGGGGAAATAACTGAAATTGGGTGCAAGGGGAAATCATACCCCATACAATTTGTATCAACTCAATTTTTTTTAAAAGTGTTTGATTTTGAATTATATATCAAAATGCACAGAGAATAAAACAAACATAAAAAACTTCGGGAAAAAGTTGCATCAATTTTGGCATGTCACTGTATGTGGTCCCAACCTACCCCTAAAAGGCAGAAGGAAGGATGATTTGAGTTAACTTGAATCTACAAAGGATGCTTACATATTTCTCTGGCTTACTGTGGCTTTTTCTCTACAAGTCTGTTATTTCATTTATGCCCCACCCTATCCTCGGGGGTCATGATTTGAACAAACTTGAATCTACACTACCTGATGATGCTTCCTTATAAATATGAACAATCATGGCTTTTTTGTTCTTGAGAAAAATATTTTAAAAGATTTTTTCTATGTATTCCTATGTTAGACTTTGATACTCCATTGTGGCCGCACCCTACCACCAGGGGTCATGATTTAAACAAACTTTAATCTACACTGCTTGAGGATGCTTCTATATGAATATGAAAAATCGTGGCTTTGTTAATCATGAGATGAACATTTTTAAAGAATTTTCTTATACATTCCTATTTAAAACTTTGGTCGTCCATTGTAGTCCAACCTACGCCGGGGTCATGATTTTAATAAAGTTTAATCTTCACTACCTGAGGATGCTTCCACATTAGTTTCATCTTTCCCTACCCAGTAGTTCTTGAGGAGAAAATTTTTAAAAACATGTCACCAAATTTTCACTATTTCATAATTATCTCCCCTTG